TATTTACTAGAGGTTCCAGATTAAGAGTATTAGGACAGGGGCTTCCCTGGTGGCGCAGTGGTTAAGAATCCGCCTGCCAATGCAGGGGACACGGGTTCGAGCCCTGGTTCGGGAAGATCCCACAGGCCGTGGAGCAACTAAGCCCGTGCGCCACAACTACTGAGCCTGCGCTCTAGAGCCCACGAGCCACAACTACTGAAGCCCGCGCGCCTAGAGCCCGTGCTGGGCAACAAGAGAAGCCACTGCAATGAGAGGCCCGCACACCGCAACGAAGAGTAGCCCCCGCTCGCCGCAACTAGAGAAAGCCCGCGCGCAGCAACGAAGACCCAATGCAGCCAAAAATAAATAAATAAATCAATCTTAAAATAAAAAAGTATTAGGACATACAGCTGGTGTGTAGTCTAGCACCTCACATGCTTGGCTTGGACCTACTACTGACCTGCATTTCATGGGTTTTGATGCCAGAAATGCCCTGACAGGAGGTGCAGGACAGAATCCGTAGGCTTAGGGAGAGAGGAATTTGAGAGTACATTCATCATATCCGGCCTGAACACTCCATCCCCCAACTGTGTTCCAGGGATAGGTCCAGAAGCAGCTCTTTTCAGCAAGGCGCTGAGAGAGCCATTAGCGCAGGAACACGAGCGGAAGGACTAAGGACCCCAGGAACAGTCTGGCACGTTCCAGGAAAAGCAAGAATGACGGGCTGGAGCCAGGTGAGCAAGGCACAGAAAATGAGCCTCTAGGGCTTCCCTGGTGGCGCAGTGGTTGAGAGTCCGCCTGCCGATGCAGGGGACACGGGTTCGTGCCCCGGTCCGGGAGGATCCCACATGCCGCGGAGCGGCTGGGCCCGTGAGCCATGGCCGCTGAGCCTGCGCGTCCGGAGCCTGTGCTCTGCTACGGCAGAGGCCACAGCAGTGAGAGGCGCGGGTACCGCAAAAAAAAAAAAAAAAAGTAAAGAAAATGAGCCTCTAAGAAGGAAATAGTTGGGCAGCCTGCTACAGGACTGCTTGATGCGTATAACCCTAAATCCTCTAGTTCTGGGAGCAAAAACCTGACTTGAGTTGCCCCCGTGGAGAGTCACACCTTCTCACCCAGTTTCCAGACCCAGAGCCCCCTGATGGAAGGGGAGGCCGTGTTCCCTGGGAAGGACCTAGTTGCAGCATTGCTGGAAGTGCACAGCGCAAATCTTCCCAAGCCTTCCTAAAGGACCCATTCACTAAAGTGAAAGGTCGTCCTGGAGAAGAACAGGTGTGTCACACCTGTCAAGTGACATGGGGAAGACTTTGTTACCTTCTTGCTATCCCCAGCTCTAGAAGCGTGGGCACCTCTGGCGGATACTTAGATCCCTGGTGGTATGGGTACTAGCTCTGGACACTTCTCTGGATGTATTCTTGGGCGGGCGGGGGAAGGGTCCGTGCTTTACCTTAGAACATCTCAGAGGCACACTCAGGAGGCGCTGGAATTCAGTGGGCGGGGAAAGAACTGTGTGTGGGGGTGGGTGCCACATTCTGGGCCCCGGGAGGGTGGAAGCTCCCAGGAGTACAGATCAAGGCAGCTCTCAGAGGCCAGGACTGGGGCCCAGCCGGACAAGGAGTGACAGTGCTCGTTTGCCATCTGGGTGGGCTCGCCACCTTCCTCTTCCCCTTCTCCAAGTCACCCTGGGGAGCACAACGTCTCTTTTCTCTGCCGGGTCAGGGCGGGCCCAACGGTGCTCACGGGCTCTCCTGAGCCCTGGATCTTGGGGGGCGGCTTTTTCTTGGCCTTTCTCGCGGGAGGGCGCAGACCTCCTGGGGCCGACGCAGGCCCCGCCCCGGGTCTGCAGGAAAGGAGGACTTGCCGTACAGCTCGCAAACAAGAGGGCTCAGGACTCTTCGGTTACGGCCGGGGGGGGCTGCGGAGGCGGGGCGAGGGCGGGCCTCTCGCTCCGGCCTCCCGGTCGACAAATGAACGTGGGCAGAGCCTTCAGCAGGGCGCCTCCCTGCTGGGCTCTGGATCGCAGGGGGAAGGTACAGAGGGCTTGTCCCGGGCTCCGCCATGCCCGGGACCACGCGCGCGGCCGCCGTAAGCCCCATTCGGCATTTTCCTTCTTTCAACTCTAGGAACATACGTCTTTTACAGTTATGGCAAAGCCTCGGGCAAGAGTTCTACGCCTACAATGGCCAGCCGGAAGCCGGCTTCTCTCGCCGATGTGGCGAAGCCCCATTCGCCAGCTGGCCGCCTGCGGTACGGGACCTAGCCGCCTCCCCGCTCTGCGCTTGTGCCCAGCCACTCCCGCACGCAGGCGCAGAGCACCGCTGCGACTACGGTCCGGAAGTGTGACAGAGTGTCTATCCGCCCGCACCCGGACTCTATGGTTCCTACGCGTGAAGAGAGACGGCCTATATAAGGCCTGCGCAGGCGTAAGAGCGTCTCTTTCCCTTCGGCGCGGTGAGTAGTCGGCCGTTGTGGCTCGTGCGGTACCCTTGCCATTTCTCTCCTCTAGTTCAAGGCCTGTCTTCGACTGCTCTTCCGATCTTGTATGTTTTGTTGCAGCCACTGAAGATCTTGGTGTCGCCATGGGCCGCCGCCCCGCCCGCTGGTGAGTGCCTGTTTCGCTGCTGGGAAAGGGGGGGAGAATCGCCTTTGGCTGCTAAAAGCAACCGTGGGTGGGGTCTCCCTAGTGCAGCTTTCCTGTCCTGGGAACGGACCCCGCGTATTCTTCAAGAACTTGCAGGTCGCTTTAGGTCTTCGTTTGTACCATTTGGTTGTATAAATTCATGCTGGTGTTTACCGCTTCCCTCTTTTCGTTGGAGTGGCCGGTTGACCCAGGTCTGCATACGTTAGCCCCATTTTAGGGCTACAAGCGACGTCCGCCTTGCATCCCGCCTTCAGAGCTGAAAAGTCGCTTGCTTTTTAGGTTCGGTGCCCTCAGGGCCTTTGTGTGCCATCCCCGTCTTATTTCCAGGCGACGTGCCGTGTGGGCTCCTTGGTCGCCAAGGGCAGTCCCAGAAAAGCGTGTTCAGCCGCCTCGTGTGCCCTTCAGGGGGCGCCCATCACGAGGCTTGGAGGCCGACTTAATGCCACGTGCCCAAAGGACTTTATGAAGTGTGTTACTCTTCGCAGTATTTAAGTTGAGAAAGTCCGTTTCAGGATGTTAGCCTTATAGGAAGTTGAAAACACAACAGGGCATAGACGGTGGATTTTTTGTTTGTTTGTTTGTTTTTTTACTTTTATAATCTCCTAGCATTGGTGTCCTAACTTCTGGCCACATCTTGCTTTAGCACCAAATTTCTAGGAATGAAGACCAAGCTTAGAGATGACATGTGTCATTCCCCCTCTCCCAACGCCCCTTTGGTCGTAGATTGAGGAAGAACTCAGTGCCTATTGTGGAGTTCACTTGTGAATCCCTGCTAACTTGGGTTCCTCCCCTTCCCCGCAGTTACCGGTATTGCAAGAACAAGCCATACCCAAAGTCTCGCTTCTGCCGAGGTGTCCCTGGTAAGTGGTGGGAAAGCCCCCAAACTGGTTTGGCTGCACTGACCCAGTGGCTATGGCACACACACACACACACACACACACACACACACACACACTAACCAGATTTTTTTTCTAGATGCTAAGATCCGCATCTTTGACCTGGGGCGGAAGAAGGCAAAAGTGGATGAGTTCCCACTCTGTGGCCACATGGTGTCGGATGAATATGAGCAGCTCTCCTCTGAAGGTGAGGCAGGTTTCCTTGTTCACCATTCCTGGTCCCTTGTATGTGGGCCTCCGGCCAGACCTAGAGCTCACTGCACTGGAATTATCAGGTCATTAATCACGAGCAGCCAATCGTGAGCCTCTTTACTAAACTCCCCCAGCCAATACAGGTGTTCCCAGAGAGCCATGGTAAGTGCTTCTGTGCCATTTTGTCTCACTCTGCTGCCTCCCCCGCCCCAACAGCCCTGGAGGCTGCCCGTATTTGTGCCAACAAGTACATGGTGAAAAGCTGCGGCAAAGATGGTTTTCACATCCGAGTGCGGCTCCACCCCTTCCACGTCATCCGCATCAACAAGATGTTGTCCTGTGCTGGAGCTGATAGGTGAGCTGGGTCCTGAGACTCCTGGCCTTTTCAGATGTTCTCCCATATCTTAAAGCCTGGGCTTGATTATTTTTTTCATCAGTCAGGGCAAAGAGGTGGCCTCACAAAGAGTCAACCACCCATAGCAAAGCCAGGCCAAAGGGCTAGCAAGTGGACTTCAGTGGACAGTCCCAGAGACAAACACAAAAGGCGTCATGGCTCTGGGAAACAGGTAGAGGGAGGTGCTTCTGCCGGAGGAGCTCCTCTTTGAGCCTAATGACATGAGCTGCAGGCAGGCAGGTTGCTGGCGTGGTCACAGGTTGGATGGCTTTCAGATGAGCCCAGTAGCACCTTGCAGGGATTCTAGCTAGTCTGTTTTAGGGTTCTCTGTGTTCTTTGCAGCCAGTTAAGCCGACTGTGCTCTTTTCCCCATGGGGGCCCGGTGCGCAGTGGCTGCAAACAGCAGCCTCCTCGGTAGTGTGTGCGGCCTGTTGCCTGTACAGGCTGCCCTAAGGGACCCTGGAGACAGCCCTTTCCGGTGGACATTAATGACTGGCGTGCTGTTTCCAATCTAGGCTCCAGACAGGTATGCGTGGTGCCTTTGGAAAGCCCCAGGGCACAGTGGCCAGGGTCCACATTGGCCAGGTCATAATGTCCATCCGCACCAAGCTGCAGAACAAGGAGCATGTGATTGAGGCCCTCCGCAGGGCCAAGTTCAAGTTCCCTGGCCGCCAGAAGGTATGTAGTGCTACAGCCTTGGTCTCACCTTTCCCTGCTCCTGTCCCCAGGCCTCCTGACTCGGCTGTTTCTGTCTCTCTCTAGATCCACATCTCCAAGAAGTGGGGATTTACTAAGTTTAATGCAGATGAGTTTGAAAACATGGTGGCAGAAAAGCGGCTCATTCCGGATGGCTGTGGGGTCAAGTACATCCCTAATCGTGGCCCGCTGGACAAATGGCGGGCCCTGCACTCGTGAGAGCCTTGGCGCTGCCCCCTCCCCACCTATGGCCACTAATAAACTCTACTTTCTTCTCCTGTCTTTGCATCTGGATTCATGGGGGGTGGGGAGCCTTTGGGAGTCCTAGGGTTGCTGTCTCTTCTCTTCAGAAAAAGGCTGACCACTAAGCTGGCCAGTTGGCACTTAGCAGGGCCAGCACCGGGACCAGCACTTAGACCTGCCTTAGATCCCAGGCAGTGGGTTCACAAGTCCCCCTGCATGTGCATGGAGCACTTCCTTAGTAAAGCACCCACCCTGAGTGATGGAAAGGGGTCTCAGGCAGCTGTGGAAGCTCTTCCCCAAGGGTCCCAGACCAGGACAGGAACATTGTTGGACATGGGGAGGAAGGAAGCAGACCAGACATGGTTCTGGCTGTATTTTCACCAGTTACCCCTGGAGTAAACATTTGTTCTGGGCCTAACCACATTTCCCCATCTACAGAGTTGAGAAATCTCGTCACCCCACCCCATCCTAAGCCTAACCCACTACCCCTTATAGGGCCTCACTCCCAGGGCCCTTTACTCCTGATATCAAGCTCCTATGGCTGAGGTAGGGCTTGGCGACAAGAGACCTTTGGGCAAATAGCGTGCAGTGCCCTCTGGCCCAGGGGATCCTGGTGTGCTATCTGACACCAACTGCCAGGGCCACCCTGCTGTAAGAGCAGCTGAGTCCCAGAGCTCTGCTAGGTGGGGTGGCCTGGGGCTGTGAGCCCAGGAGAAGAGGACCCTAAAGGGATTTGGTTCCAGAGCCCAGCATAGTAGCCGGAGAGGCTTGCTGCAGTCTGGCTGTGACTGCGTGCAGCAGTCGGCCCCTGAGAGGCCTCTGGCATCTTGTAATCCTTAGCAACTGCCATCTCTAAAGTTTAAAACTACCTTTTAACCTAAAGTTGATGCTTCTATATCATAAAAACATAACTTGCACTTAAACGGCTCTGATGTCCTGCTAGCCGTCTTTAATGAGCTCTGTTTTCTGGGAAATGGAGCTGGGGAAGGAGGGGTTCTCTGATAACACTAAGTGGGGTCATTGTTACTTCCGCTGTAGTATCCTGTATCCCTTTCCCCTGGGGGATCACATACATGGTAACTTTTTTGTAGATAGTATAAGTGGTTTATGTAGATGCTTTTAACCAGCCTCAGAGGTGTCAGGGCAGCTAGCTGGGTTACAATGAACTTAAACATTTCCTGTTGACTACTTACCGTGTGCGCGCGCGCATGTGTGTGTGTGTGTGTGTGTGTGTGTGTGTGAACTCTTAAGCTCCGTCCCTGTATCTAGTTGGGTCTTGCTTCATGTGAGTCCCACGTATGATAAAGGTGACCCTTTGCCATGTCTGCTACACACATGTAATATCCCTGCAATCTAGCTTTCTGTTCTCAGCGTGTATGGTCTTGTCATACAATAAATATTTATTTAGTTGGCTGCATCGGGGTCTTAGTTGTGACACGTGGGATCTTCATTGCAGCATGGGGGATTTTTGTTCCCCCACCCCAGCCCTGGAGCCTGCCTTTTGTCCTCATTCCTGACACTACCTGGGCTTAGAGTGGCGTGGCTCCAGCCTCAGGGCTCCTGCCTTCCTCTTCCACATTCTCATGCCAAGCACAGGCCCAACCAAAGAACACAAGCCAAAGCAAAGGCACATAGAGGAGTGGCAGGGCAGGATAGAAGGGGGGGTTGAGTCCAGAAAACGGCATAGTCCTCGCAACTGTGGGCAGCTGGCATGCGGTGGCTTCAGGCCACCAGGCCCAGCTGGGGGGACAGGAGCAGCAGCAGCGACAGTAACAGAGTGGCCAGGCTGAGGGTCTGGGCCCCCTGCACCGCACAGCTCAGCTCCACCTCCACGGGGTAGTGATCGCTGATGTTGAGGGCCTGGGGGTGGGCAGCGGGACAAAGCATCAGTCTCGGGGCCTAGGGGCTTCCCCATGAGCCCGTTCCTGCCTCACCCCTTTACCTCCTCCTCGGTGAGCCCAAAGCTCCGGGGGAAGTCGAAGGCGGCTGCGCCGCGCAGCATGCTCTGGAGATGCTGCCCGTGTAGCACTATGCGGTCGTAGGTGCAGTGGGTGCTGGCCCGCACCGTGGTGTCCACGCCATCAGGGATGGCCCAGTGGAAGCCAGCCTGAGTCCGAAGGACTAGGTCATCCAGGCGCTTTTTGGTCAGTGAAGCACAGTCAGCGTTGAAGTCCCCAAGCAGGATCACGTCCTGGAGAGGGAAGCAGCAGTCGGGCCTGGCCACCTGGCCGTCCTGTCCCCCTCCCTCCCATACAACTGGCCCAGCCCTACCTCGCTCTGCCAGCGCTGGGAGGCGTCCAGAAACACGTGGTACAGGGCGTTGAGCTCCGTCTCTACGGCCTTCGGCGTGGTGTGCAGTGGGACCAGCACCAGGCTGGGAAGGACTGCAAGGCCCCGGGGACAGAGGGCTCCCAGCCACTCCTGGCCCCCCTCTGCCCAGTCCCCCCCAAGGCCCCGTAGAACCCACCAGACCCCCATTCCTGCTCCCTCATAGGGGGCCACCCTTCATCCCTACCTACCCTTGCTGGGCAAAGAGAACCGGCACACAAAGGGCTCCCGGGCAAAGAGGTCATTCTGATCGTCGTACACGTAGGAATCCAGGACCTGCGCCTTGTGTGACCTGGTGGACCACTGGTTTCAGTTTGCAAGTGCCCACATCAGACCTGGCACTCAGGGAGAAGCCCTCCACCAGCAGCTCCATTTCATGTAAGCACAGCCTGCCTAGCCTTTCTTTCTAGAACTTCTTCTAGATTGAGATATAATTTGCACATTGTAAAACTCACCTGCGTAAAATGCACGATACAGTGGCATTCAGTACATTCACAAGGTTGTGCGACCATCCCCACAATCAATTTTAGAACATTCTTATCACCCCAAAGAAACCTCGCCCATGAGCAGTTCCCATTCCCCTCCCCGCCAGCCCCTGGCAGCCCTTGATCTGTCTTCTGTCTCTGTACATCGCCTCTGCTGGACATTTCATGTGAATGGAATCCAATAATACATAGTCTTCTGTGTCTGGTTCTTTCCCTTAGCACATGTTTCAGGTCCATCCAGGCTGCAGCCCGGCTCAGACTTCCTTCCTTCTTAGGCTGAATGATATTCTGCTACGGGGAGAGGCCGCCTTTTGTTTATTTGTTCACGAGCTGACGGACACTCGGATCACTTCCACTTTGAGATTGTTAGGAGCGGTGCTGCTGTATGGGCGTGTCTCTGTTCCCCCGTCATTTTGGAGTGAATTCTAGACATTATGTAATTTCATCTATATATAGGAACAGGTCTCCTTCCCTGACTGCCACCCTTGCCCTCTCAATCCTGACCCCCGCCCCAGGCTATCCTCCCAGGGACTTAGGGCTGTTTCTGGAAACTGGGTCTGCCCAGGACCCACGACAGGCCCCTGGTGAGCCTCTTCCCAGAAGCTGCAACCAGTCACTCCCAAAGAGGGAGCCAGCCTCACCCCGAGCCCCTGTGGCTTCCACAGGAGAGAGGCGGGGGGCCCCACTTCTGTACTTGCAGAAGGAAGGCCACCTGCCGGAGGGACACATGGGCACTAAAGCTGTCTGGGGTAGAGGACAAGAAGACCCCAGGGTAAAACCACTGAGGAGAAAAAGTGTGATGCGGAGGTGAGGGCCACCCTTGGGGCTACTGCGCCACCGCATGCCGGGCCAAGTGTCCAGGCCGCCCCGGTCACCATCTGCACTCACCGGTAGATATACACATATCTCTCCTTGTACGTGCCACGCCCCAGCAGGTGGCTGCTCAGGAAGCTGTAGGGCCCAGAGTCATCAAATCTGCCAGGAAAGGGGAACCTCGGGTCAGCGGTCCTGAGGCTCCGTGGGGCCCCCAGTTTAGACCCACAGAGCCCTCCTCACCGATTGAGTTCTCGAAGCAGGAGTAGGATGGCACTGCCAGTAGAGTCCACCACCTCCTGCAGCACTGTGATGTCACACCGAGCCAGGATCTGCAGGACACCAGGAAGGCCAGCCCCACTCAGTGCCAGCCACCCTGGGAGAGGGGTGGTATCCCTGGGGGCCCGGCACCAGCGCGGCCAAGAGTGGCATGACATGCTGGCTGCAGGCCAAACAGAGCAGCGAGGCTAGAAGGGACCCGGGAGAAGACTGAACGCCATCTCCACCAACACCACACCCACTTTATGGAGGAGGAGACTGAGGCCAGCGACAGGGAAGGAAGGTGCTCCATGTCTCCACACCATGTCTCCTGATGTCCCCTCTTCTCTGGCACATGCCCCTGGTCAGGTAGGGCTAGGGGGCTTTGGGCCATGGTCCTTAGGGGCACAGCTTCTCTGCAGTGATGAACCTACCTGAACTAAGGTGTCCAGCACAGGCTCCCTGGCCACCTTGCTGAGTGTCAGCCGCTGGGTGTTAAAAGCACAGATGTGAAAGGTGTCAGCCCCACCAGCCAGGAGGAGGAGCAGAAGCAGTGCATGGCCGTGTATGGGCTTCTGGAACCCTCCAGAGGAATCCAGGTTGCTCCAGGTTCAGGTCCCAGTTGGGCTCAATTCTAGTTCCAGAAGGACATGGTAATATGCGACAGAGAAAGTGATGCCATCCTGCTGCTGCCCAGCACCAGCCTCCCAGAGCTGCCAGCATCACACATTTCCTGCCTTTCTTGTGGACACCTTCCGACATCAGCATGTACGGTTCAATCTCGTTCTTTTTAATTGCGGTCAAATACACATAGCATCACGTTCACCATCTTAACCATTTTTAAGTTCAGTGGCATGAAGCACCTTCACATTGCTGTGCAACCATCCCCACCATCTATCCCCGGAACTCTTCCATCTTCCCAAACTGAAACTCTGTCCCCATTTGACACTAACCCCCACATCCCCTCCCCCAGCCCGTGCCCCCCCATCCTACTTTCTGTCCCTAGGAATCTGACTGGCTCTGAGCAGCTCATACAAGTGGAGTCCTACAGTATCTGTCTGTTTGTGACCGTTTGATTTCACTGATCACAATGTGCTCATTTCATCCATGTCAGAATGTCCTTCCTTTTAAATTCTAAATAACATTCCACTGTACGGATGGACCACGTTTTGTTCATCTATTCACCTATCCATGGACACTGGATTGCTTCCACTTTTTGGCTACTGTCAATACTGCTACTGTGAACATGAGTGTACAAATATCTCTTCAAGTTCCTGCTTTCAATCCTTTTGGTTAGATACCTAGAAGTGAAATTGCTGGAACATATGGTAATCCTATATTTAACTTTTTTGAGGAACCGCCATACTATTTTCCACAGTGGCTGCCCCATCTTACATTCCCACGAGCAGTTCACAAGGGTTCAACCTTAGAGTTGATTCCAACTTTTCACCGCCATTAGCAACTAGAAGGACCATCTTCGTGCATCTCTGTCTCCTCACTTGGCAGACATTATGCTTAAGACAAACTCCCAGCAGTATAATTGCTGGATTCAAGGGCGTATGCATTTAGAATGATCTCGGATACACCAACTCACCACACTGCAGTGTGTGATGGAGCCCCTCTCCCCATCCCCCCCACTACTGGTGAGCCCTACTTGTTCATCTTACCAGCTGGAGCACCCCTCTTCCTGAGTGTCTTTCTCTTTGCCCTGTCTTTTGGGCTCAGGCCCTTGCTCAACTCCCTGTTGGTGTTGCCCTCATACAGCGACGTAAGTCCCTCTACTTCTGTCTGCCTGCTTTTCTCTGTTGCTTTGTCACCTGCCTCAGTGCCTGCCAGGGCTCCATGCCTGTTTCTCCCTAGCCACCTGCTCTGTCATTCATGCTAGTTTGGGTCCCCTGCCCTGGTATCTATTCTGGGATGTATGTAGGCCTTTAGGCAGCCCTGGGCTGGCAAGGGCAGGCTTGGAGGCTCTGGGGCCAGGGGCTCCCAGGTTGGCGGAGGAAAAGAACTAGAGAGTTCCTGGCCTCAGCCCAAAGTCGGTCCGGACTCCCAACACCAGCCCTTTGCCCCAGCCCTGGGATTCCCTTCCCCTCTCGCCTTCCCTCACAGGCTGGGGGCAACTTCCTCCTTCCCTCTGGCCAGAGGGCTCCCATACCTGTGCAGAACGGGTCGTCTCCACACCACCTTCCTGTGCTGTGAGCGGATCGCGACTCCCCACGGAATCACAGCGTCTGCCTGGGCAGGGACCGTAGACGAAAACAGAGGAACAGACTCTCAACTCTCCCCACCCGTCAGGGCTGGCTCGGCAGCCCCACCCTTCCCGGTGGGCGGGCCCGGCCCTGGCTCCACCCCGGAGGCCGCCAGGAGGTTGGGCAGCTGGCCTGGCTTGGACCTGGCCGCCCACTTTCCCACCAGACCCCGCCTTCCCCGCCCGGGTGGGACAGGGCGCTAGCGGAGGCAAAGGCTGGGGAGGGTTTGAGCAGATGACCGTGCTGTGAGTCAGAGTTTTTCCTGTGCCCAGGGCGCGCAGCGAGGAGCTGCGGGCGCCCGAGCGCAGACTCTGTTCTACACTCTCCCAGGCCCGGCGCTCAGCCCCCGTCCCCGGCCGCCTGCAGGAAGGATACGGTGGGGAAGACTCCAGAGCTGGAGGCGTGCCTGAAAAAGGGAAGCACCGCGGCGAGCCTGGGCACCCCCGAGGACAAGGGCCTTATCTCCAAGTCCTCGGGCCGGGCCCGGTGTGGCTGCGCACTCCTGAGCGCTCTGAATACCCAAAGCGAGCGACAGTCGGCGCAGGAACTGGCCATGGTGGTGGAAGCCGAGGGCGGACTAAAAAACTGTACCTGAGAGATTAGAGCGCTGGCAGCTCAGTGCGCCGTGGGGGTCCTGCACTGTCGCTGATGGGACAAGTGGGGGACTCAGGCGGTGTCTGCGGGCGGGCGATGGGTCCTTACTGAATGGTTGTAGTGCGGTCTTCGGGGCAATGTCCCCGTTGGCAGGACCTCCGTGCTAATGGATTGGGGGTGGTGATGAGCCGAAGACTGGGAATTTTTTTTTTTTCCGCGTCTTGCTGGATCTTAGTTCCGAAGCAGGGATTGAACCCAGGCCCTCGGCAGTGAGAGCGCCGAGTCCTAACCACTGGACCGCCAGGGAATTCCCGGGAAAAATATTTTTTAATCAATAAAATTATACTTTGCTTTAAAAATAAAAAATAGACTGCTTAACGCCTACAGGGCTTTCTTTTTGGGGTGATGAACATGTTTGGACCTAGTTAGAGGTGGTGGTTGACAACACTGTGGGTGTACTAAACGATATAAAATACTGTAATATATATAGTATTTCCTATTGTATGTTATATGCTGCTATATATTACATATTGCATCACATGTTACATTATATTACATACATACATAAGTATAGTACAGTTCTGTAACACTGTGATTATATAAAGTTGTAGGGCTTCCCTGGTGGCACAGTGGTTAAGAATCGCCTGCCAATGCAGGGGACACAGGTTCGTGCCCCGGTCTGGGAAGATCCCACGTGCCGCGGAGCGGCTAGGCCCGTGAGCCATGGCCGCTGAGCCTGCGCGTCCGGAGCCTGTGCTCCGCAACGGGAGAGGCCACGACAGTGAGAGGCCCGCGTACTGCAAAAAAAAACAAAAAATAAGTTGTATGTAGCTAATTATGTAAAGTTACATAATGTAACATATACAATACATAACGTTTAACATTACATATGTTACATACATAAAATAATGTAATATAAAATGCTATAAAATACTATAAAATGGTTAATTCCGTGTTATACGAAATTAATGAAAACAAAGGGGGAAAAAAACTAAAGTAAAAGTGCTCCGCCAGCCCCGACCTTTTTTTTAAAATAAATTTATTTTATTTATTTATTTTTGGCTGCATTGGGTCTTCATTGCTGTGCGCAGTGCACGGTTTTCTCATTGCAGTGGCTTCTCTTGTTGCGGAGCACGGGCTCTAGGCGCGCGGGCTTCAATAGTTGTAGCACGTGGGCTTAGCTGCCAGCACCGCGGCATGTGGGGTCTTCCCTGACCAGGGCTCAAATCCGTGTCCCCTGCATTGGCAAGCAGACTCTTAACCACTGCACCACCAGGGAAGCCAGCCCCGATTTTGTGTGGTGTCAGGTAATCGTGTTGCGCACCCCATGTTACTCACAGAGAGTTCACCGGGGAGGAACTAATGAGACAAAACGGACCTGCAGCCGGCGGGTGACCTCAAATCCGCGCTGCTCCGGAGCGGGGCGGGGCCACGCGGCCCGCGGGCCCGCCCCCGCTGCCGTCAAGCGGCCCGAGCGCGTTTTGCGACAGACGGCGGTAGAGCCCGGCGCCGTCGCAGGCTCGCTTTCCGGCGGGTGCGGGGGCCTCGCGGCTGCTGCTCCCGCCCGCGCTAGGTCCTCAGTGCGCACCCCGTCTCCTGGCTCCAGGGCGGCTAGTGTGTGGCGAGAGATCGGGGACGGGCCCGGTTCTGGCCTGACCCACTAGGTGACCTTGGTCGAGTCCCCTGTCGCGCCGAGCCGCGGCGCCCATCTGTGGCGCGGGCCTGTTAGGGACCCATCCCCCGAGCGGTTGAGGACACAGACCTAGAGTAGCCCCACAGCCTGCCCCAGGGCAGGGGGAGCGCCGGGCCGCCGGGGGCGGTGGGGGAAGTTCGGTCGGGGCGGGGAGATGCCCCTACATGTGAAATGGCCGTTCCCCGCGGTGCCGCCGCTCACCTGGACCCTGGCCAGCAGCGTCGTCATGGGCTTGGTGGGCACCTACAGCTGCTTCTGGACCAGTGAGTGGACCCAAAGCCGAGGCAGGGTTGGCCACGGGTCTCCACGCCCAACCAGAGTTGGGGTTCGGGGTTGGGGGCGCTGGCAGGGGCTGGCTTGGCCGGGGGTGGGGAGCTCTGGGCTCCCCGGAAAGGAAGCGAAGATCCCGACCCTCCCGCTCTCCCTCCAGAGTACATGAACCACCTCACCGTCCACAACAAGGAGGTTCTGTACGAGCTCATCGAGAACCGAGGCCCAGCCACACCCCTCATCACGGTGTCCAATCACCAGTCCTGCATGGATGACCCTCACCTCTGGGGTACACGGGCCAGTGTGCTGGGTTTGGGGAAGCAAGGAGGGAACCTGGGACAGGGCCAAACACAAGCAGAACAAACTCACTCCTCACGGGCTGCTTTGCATAGCTCTGGCACTCCTGTTTCTGGGATGTCCTGCCCCAGGGATGAAAGTTTGATTTGTGGCCCCTTCAGCATCCTCCTAGGGAGTGTAATTTGGAGAGCGCCTCAGATATTTGGAGGGAATGGACGTAGGGCAAGGTCTGACAGCTTCTTTACTCTGACGTATCAGGCCCAATGTGTCAGACCCTCCATTCTCTAAACTGTTGACGGTTCCAAAGAGCCTTGGGAACAAATCTGAGGACCACAGAGTGTCCTGTCAAGGAAACTCTGGGCTAGGGGCTGGAAGACCTGTGTCCTGTTTCCAGGGTTGCCCCAGGCTGGGTTTGTAGCCTTCCACCAGCCTCGTTTGGGAGCCCGCTTCCCCACCTAGAAGTTCCTGCTCTGCTGACTTCACAGGGAGTGGCTTGGCTCCAGTAACCCAGATGGCTGCCAATGCAGGGGACACGGGTTCGTGCCCCGGTCTGGGAAGATCCCACGTGCCGCGGAGCGGCTAGGCCCTCCTAGGGGTGCCCGGGGCTCCCACTGCTGAACTCAGGAGGTTATAGACTAGGAGGTAGAGCTCGTGGGAAGCCATTTGATCAAATCAGAGCCTTTCATAGCTCACCCTTGCCGCCGGGCAGAGCATGGCCTGCAGGGTGCCACAGGCAGATTCCAGGAGACCAGGAAGGAGGCTCTAGAGCCATCCAGTAACCTGGACCAAGGTGGTGGCAGTGACAGTGGGGAAATGGGTAGAAGAATAGGCAGCATCAGAATGTATCGGGGAGGTAGGCAGACCAGCTGTGGTGACTAATAAGACATACGGGGTGGGAGAGAGGGAGGGGCCCGGGAGAACTTGGGGGTCCAGCCCAAGGGTCAGGAAGATGCCACTTTGGACCATAGGGAAATGGTAGTACTGCTGTCCATGTCCCTCATTCCCCAAAACAGGATGACAGAAATCGGCGCCCCCTAGGTACAAGGTAAGTTGGGGCATGAAGTCTTTGCTCTCCTTCTCCAGGGATCCTGAAACTCCGCCACATCTGGAACCTGAAGTTGATGCGTTGGTGAGGAGCAGTGGGCCCCTTGTGGTGGGCCGGCAGGCTTCACCCGTCTCTGCCCAGGTCTGCCCTCCCCCTACTGTGCCCAGGAGGAGCCTCCAGCAGTCCAGGCAGGGCACGGGGTGGGGCCCCGCAGGCCCTCCTGTGCCTCCATTCTGCACTGCCCACGATGTCAGGCCTCACGCTGGGGGCAGGGCAGAGAAGCAGGGTGCAGGGGAGGCCGCGGTGACCACGTCTGTCCCCGCTCCAGGACCCCCGCGGCCGCAGACATCTGCTTCACCAAGGAGCTGCATTCCCACTTCTTCAGCTTGGGCAAGTGCGTGCCCGTGTGCCGAGGTGAGGTGCTTCTGGGGGCTTCTCTGGCCTCCCTTGGGGCCGGGAGACTGGTGGTCCATGCCTCTGGCTTGGCAGTGCTGGGAGTAGAGGGACCCTGGTGGGACAGGCAGCCAGGGAGCCGGGGGCCACTGCCTCACTCGCGTGAGGCCCAGCTTCATCCTGCGGCAGGAGGGGTGGCAGTGGCTTCTTGGAGCGCACTGCATTCCCTGCGACTGCCTGAGGATTGTGTGCCTCCGGCTCCGATGTTAGAAGTGGACGAGGCGTTATCCACGTTCCTTCTCTTGAGGACGTTGCTGAGAGAGACTCACTGATGGCAGTGCGGTGTCATCAGTGTGTGATGGTGGTGGCGTGTGCCGTAGGGTGAGGGGAGTGATGTTGAGCGATAATCAGCACCTCTCGAGAGCTTCCGGAGGTAGGGCCCATTTTCATCCCCTTCTCCAGATAAGGGGACTCAGGGATAAAGGTGCTGGCCCAAGGTCACAGGGCAAGAGGTGGCAAAGCCAGGGTTCAAATCCAGGTTGCTTTTCCCTCTGGGGAAGCAGGATTTTTCCAGGGAGAGTATGAAAGGAAAGGCATCCTAGACACGGGAAGCATGTAGCAGACACTGGAGAGGTACGTGATAAAGGTAGAAAATGTGCATTGCAGGCTGAAAGTGAAGGTTCTGGAACAATCATGTGAAGAATTTGGGCTCTGCTTTCTCATCAGGGTAGTGACAGGGCTTTCGAGTGTGGTTAGAGAGAGAGCCCCCGGCTGCAGTGTGCCTGGAGGGCAGAAGTGGGGTCGAGGATTGTAGCTGGGCCTCTGGGGGTCACCACAGAGAACAGAGACGAGACGGCTTTGGGATACGCTCTGGAGGCGGAGTGGACAGGACTTGATAGGTTGGGTGTAGGAGGGGGCGAGGAAAAGAAAACGCAAAGATGACACTAGGTGATGTCTGGTAACGATGAGCCACTGGGAGGATGGGACTAGGGGAAGGCAGCATGGTGGTTGAGAGGAGCCTGTCACCTGAGGAGGGAACGGTCCAGAGACAGTGAGATGCACAGCTCTGGAGCTCAAAAGAACGCTTGGGAATAAAGATACCGGGAACTCAACCGCAAACAAAGTCACAAACATAGAAGTGAGATCGCAGACGGGGAGAGCACGGAGAGAGCAGGGGTCCAGGACAGCACCTCGGCACAGAAGGAGACACGAGCCACCAAGAGAGCAGAGAGCAGTGGCCAGAGAGGAAAGAAGCAAAACAGGGCCCCTCGGTACTGTGGAAGCCTCCAGTGGCCCTGGAGAGGCCACTTCTCTGGACTGACGGCCACAGGAGCTTCGGGGCAGGGTGTGGGGTAGACGGCCGGGGGCGGGCGTGGGCCGGGCGGTGGGGCGGGGCGAGGGGGGTGGTGTGTGTTTGGCCACTCCTCCCAGAGGTTGGGTTGTGAAGAGGAAGTAACCAAAGGGCGTTGGAGGTCACGGAAATCTTATTTCTAGTAGATGGAAGTAAAACATGGTAAAATCCAATAAAGTAACCTCAAAAAATAAACAAGGTTCTTTAATGAAAAGCTGCAGCGCCCACCCTCCACATCCGCAGACCTAGTTACTCCCCAGAGATAGCCACCTGGAACACTTTCTGTTTTTGGTGCTTTTGGAGGCGGCTTCCTTTCACTAAAACACAAGCAGAGGCTACAGTGTCATGGCAAGTGACCGTGGCGTTGTTTATCATGCACTGCTCTGAGAGATGGCGACTCTGCTCATGCACCCCATCCCTGAGTCTCAGTTCCTCCTTTCTGCAACCTCAGAGGCCTTCCGTGTCCACTTCTAGTCTCATTCTTCTTTTTGACCCGCATCTAAGTTTTACTGCACAATAAAAGCAGCAAGTGAAATCTTAATCCGAAGCACCTTCTGGTGAGAGAAAGTGGGCAGGGACAAGCTGTTTCTCAAGTGCATTTGACGTGCAGCAAAGATCTAACAACACGTATTGAAGCAAAGGAAGTATCTGGCATGTGTTGCTTCTATGTTCCAGAAAATTCCCCTTTCCCCCCAAGCATAGGCCTTGTGATAGGACGTGAAGTGTCAGAGTGATCTTGCACAAGCTATACAAGTGAGTAGAAGTAGCATTTGCAAAAGCCAAACATTATGAAGTGTTGCTCCCAAAGCACGGTATTTGTAAATTTTGATTCCAAGCTGGATGGCTCGGTTGCACCAGTGGGTTTTTGTAGAGCAGGAGCCTGCGCCCCTGCAGCCCACCCCTACCGGCTAATGCGAGCCCAGGTAGGGAAACTGCTGCTCTCAGCTGCGATGCCCTGAGAAACTGCAGTGGGTGACTGCTCCCCAGCTCCAGCCCCTAAGGGAGCTGCCAGGCCGGGTTTCCATTTGGGTTGGGTTGAGACTCCTGGATCCCTATCTAGCACCTTCCAAAGACTCCGCCTTGCAGAGAACAGGTTGAAAGTCCATTTCTTAGTGCATTGGCCCAAAGCGTCCTGGTGTCAGTCTGTCTGTCTCTCTCCCTCTTTGTGCTGCGGCTCTCTACTCCTTACTTGATAACATAAGGATATCTACCCCGCTTCTTCAACCTCCCCCCCTTCTCTGTCTCTGTCCACTCTACGGACAAGGTTGACGAGTGAGGCTCAACTGTGCGTGGGTACAGATTGCCCCCATGTGCCTCCAAGTCAAGAGCCAGCACGTGGCATTAGGCGTTCATGTCTGTGTTGTTGCTGACCGCCGGGCCACCTGGGTCCAGTGTCGTGGTCTCAGGGAAACTCTAAGGCGAGTGTTGCTAGCATCGGGGGCGGCTCAAGCCTGCTGCTTTCCACGTAGCAGGTTTGAGTTTTCCCCAACTCCCAGCGACACTGTTCCGTCAAACATCCTCCCGTTCCCGAGAGGCCTGGCTGAGGGTGAGCCTAGTTTTCAGGGGGAGCCCTTCAAGGCGGGGCCGGCAGAGGCTGAGGGCTCAGGAAGGGCTGGGGGGCCTGTGAGGAGTGGCTGTGGGAACTGGCCTGGCAGAGACCCCGGGGAGAGGGTCGCTGTCCAGAATCTGGGGCCCAGGCGAGGCTGGAAATCACGAACAGACTGGGCCAGAGGCAGCAAATGGTAGGCTCGCCCCAGGGTTGGCTCATCCTAAAGCTCCAAGAGCCCAATCAGGGAGGCAGCTGAGCAGGCCCGAGAGGGACTGGCCTTGGAAGGTGTTCGTGTGGGTCGCCCGCTGGGGGATGGTGAGCTGCTGCTTCGTGCCCAGGGAGGGCGGAGGGGGGGCCCTGGAGGATGGAGACTGAAGGGAGGGACTGTCTCTTGGCAGGAGATGGCGTCTACCAGAAGGGAATGGATTTCATTTTGGAGAAGCTCAACCACGGGGACTGGGTGCACATCTTCCCAGAAGGTCAGTGGGGCTGGCAGGGTCGTGACCCTCTCAAGAATATGGGTGGGACTGCCCCCCCGCCGCCGCCCGGCAGCCCCCAGCCTCACCTCCATCCTGCCTCTCAACAGGGAAAGTGAACATGAGCTCCGAGTTCCTGCGCTTCAAGTGGGGTAAGAGCCGCTGGCCCGCCTCCGGCTGGGTTGGACTGTGGCAGGCGGGGCAGAGGAGCATGTTGGGAGCGGCGGGAAGGGCAGGTGCCGGCCCAGGGCAGCTGCTTTTGACTGGGGGAGGGCAGGAGTGGCCCCGGCCGCAGGCTGGCACCGAAGCTCCACTCATGCCACCATTTCTGCCTCTCTCTGGGGTAGGAATCGGACGCCTGATCGCCGAATGTCATCTCAATCCTGTCATTCTGCCGCTGTGGCATGTCGGTGAGCCAAGGCTGCGGCCCAGGGAAAGGGGCTTCGCTCGGTCCTATTGGCGGGTGGGTCTCCTCTGGGTGGCAGAGAGGGGGTGCCCGAGCTGCCCTGCTCCACCCCACACCTGCTTCCCAGCCTTCTGTCTGCTGTGCTACAGGAATGAACGACGTCCTTCCTAACAGCCCGCCCTACTTCCCCCGCTTTGGACAGGTGGGTAGGGCTGCTGACCTTGTCTGTCTATCTGTCTGTCTGCCATCTGCCCCATGACTCCCACTCAGCACCACTGAGGCCAGATTCAGGAGGCTGTAGCAGGGGGAATGGAGTGAAGCGGGGTGGGGTGTCTTCCTGGCACCAAGGCCGGGGCCGGGGCAGGGGCAGGCCTTGGGATTGGGACAGGACAGGATGGGATGACTAGGGCATGGACCCCGGGACTGGGATGGCCCTTGGATGTCACTGAGCCCAACCACCTCGTTTTAAAGAGGTTAGAGTGGACCCGAGGGAGTACTCAGCAAGGTGGGGACAGGATTTGGCCTCTGGCTCCCCAGGGTGCTGGGGCTGTGGGCACCCCCCGCTCCTGTCGCCCACCGGCGGCCCGTCTCCCCACAGAAAATCACCGTGCTGATTGGGAAGCCCTTCAGTGCCCTGCCTGTGCTCGAGCGGCTCCGGGCAGAGAACAAGTCAGCTGTGAGTTTCTCCCCCAGGCCATCCCAGAGCTGTCCTAGCCCATCCCAGTGCCCTTGGCCTCCCAGGGACCCTGGGCGAAGCTCCCTGAGGGCTGCAGGCCAGCCCCAGTCCTTCCCCTCAGGTGGAGATTCGCAAAGCCCTGACAGACTTCATCCAGGAGGAATTCCAGCGCCTGAAGAGCCAGGCCGAGCAGCTCCACAACCACCTGCAGGCCGGGAGATAGGCGCCACCCCGCCCAGACCCCGCCCAGATCCTGCCCCGGCTTTCCTCTTGGACTGGGGCGGGGACAGGGAGGGGCGGCGAGGCCTGGGACAGAGGCAGCTCTGGGACCCGAGTCCCAGCTGCCAGGAGATCGGTGCTGCCTTGGGTTCTGGCCCTGCACAGAGCTGGGCTGGGGGATGGACTGATGCTTTGAGCTCAGATACGGTTTTTCAGACAGATTTGTTCAGAACCCTTAACGGGTGCCCTCTCCTAGTTGGTGTGCGTTCCAGCTCCTCTGTGGTTCTTCAGCTGAAAGAAGGGTCTCAGCTGCTCCTCCCACTTGGCCACGCAGGGAGGAAGACATTTAGGCAGGGGCCTCCTTCCTTCTTGCCTTCAAGGTGTTCTCTCCCAGGGCCGGGCACTGGAGGGAGGGTAGTTGAAGCGGGGCAGTGGCCAGGCCTGGCTTCTACCCGCCTGCCCTGATCCAGGAGCTGCTCACCACTTCCTCAGGGATGGCCGTCAGCCACGTCTTCCTTCTGCCCGTGCTCCCCACAGGCGTGGGACCCTCGGGCAGGGCCCAGCCCTGGGCTGCAGGTAGAAGAGCTGCCCTTTTCCAGAAGTGGAGCCCAGCCAAATGGAGCCTGCAGCAAGGGCCCAAGACGCGGCCCCTTGCCCTCATGCTGGGGCCTACCGACTTCTCCGTCCTTTCTGCCTCCCTGGCATCACTTGAATCCCCTGGGGCATGGGTTTTCATGTTTTATAAACAATAAAGCATCTGTGTTGTGCTCTTTTACATCTGGCCTCTCTGTAGGGGTGGGGGTGGGAGGTGACCCTCTGGACAGGAAGGCTGGGCCTTAGAGCTCTGGGCACATCAAGAGCACTTGACCAGATGGGCTCTCAGTCTGTACCAGTCGCCTAAGGCTTCCGTCATTGTCTATAATCCCCATACAACCTTGCAAAAGTAGGGATTAATCTCATTCTGTAAAGGACGCAGAGCGAGGTTAATGGACTTGCTTCAAAACCCAAAGATTTGTAATACACGTAACTAACGCAGGGCTCACACCCAGAATAAATAAAGAACTCCTATAAATCAGTAAAAGGATAAACAATCGGATAGAAAAACGGGAAGATTGATGTGAGCAGTCACTTCATAGAAGAGGAAACAATGGCAGAGCTGAAAATACATGTACTGTATGAGTTTGCTGTAACGGCAGTAACAAAGCACCCTAAACTGGTAGGGTTAAAACAACAAAAGATTTATTCTCTCACAGTTCTGGAGGTCAGAAGTCCAAGGTCAAGGTAACGGCAGGGTTGGTTCCTTCTGGGGGCTCTGAGGAGGGATCTGCCCCCTCTCCTAGCTTCCAGTGGTGGCCAGCAATCCTTGGTGTTCCTTGGCTTGAAGACACAAGTTCACTCCAATCTCTGCTTCCAGCTTTGTATGGCCTCTTCTTCTAAGGACACCAGTCGCTGGATTAGGGCTCGCTACTCCACTATGACCTCATCTTAACTAATTATACTCACAAAGATCCTTTTTCCAAATAAAGTCACATTCTGAGGTTCCAGGTGGACATGAATTTGGGGGGACACAATTCAACCCAGTACATACACTCTATGACCTGATATACATACCCTTTGAAATGCACGTATATGTGCACCACATACGCAAGTATTGGCAGCACCACTAGCCGTGCTAGCTAAAGTGGGAAACCACTCAAATGTCTCTCAACACTAGAAGGGCTCAATGACTGGCAGAACATCTATCTAGGGGAATAGCAGTCATGTTACTGTTATGCAATGACTCACATTAACCTCCCAATTTTAAAAAAATATTTATTTTGGCCGCGCCAGGTCTTAGTTGCAGCACGCAGGATCTTTGTTGCAGCATGCGGACTTCTTAGTTGTGGCTTGTGGGATCTAGTTTCCCGACCAGGGATCAAACCCGGGCCCCCTGCACTGGGAACGCGGAGTCTTACCTACTGGGTCACCATGGAAGTCCCTAACCTCCCAATTTTGAGCACAGAATCTAGACACAAAATGTAATACTGAATAATTCCATTTATATAAAGTCCGAAAACAGACAAAACAAAATCATCATATTGAGGGATGCCTGCTTATCTCGTGTGATGGCCTGGATGTTTGTGTCCCCCCCGCCAATTCACTGAAACCTAATCCCCTAATGGTATTAGTATGTGGGGCCTGTGGGGGGTGCTTAGGTCATGAGGTCATGGGGGTGAGGTCCTCATGATGGGATTAGTGCCCTTATAAAAGAAGCTCCAGAGAGTTCCCTCACCCCTTCCACCAGTGAGGATACAATGAGAAGTCTGCAACCTGGAAGAGGGCCTTCCCCTACCCTGATGATACCCTAATTTCTGACTTCCAGCCTTGGGAACTGTGAGCAATAAATTTCTGCTGTTTATAAACGTCACAGTCTGTGGTACTTTGTCATAGCATCCTGGACGGACTGACACAATTGGTAAAATTATAAAAACCAAAGAGATTATCACAACAATCAGGTTTGTGGTCACTTTGGTGGAAGGGAGAAGGAAGTGATGGGAGGGGGATGAGGGGGTTTGGGGAGGTAGACATTTGAGTTCTTGACTTTGGTGATGCCAAGGGAGTGTTTGTTTGCTTTGCTAAGTCATTGAGCTGTACACCTGGATTTTGCAACTTTTCTTTTTTTGGCCAGTGTAGGGGTGGGGGGCAAGGAGTGTGTGGGGAAGGCAAGCCTGGGAGGGCTGAGCAGTGGTCTGGGTGAGCAGGCTCAGGGTGTGGACTCCACTTTGCCTGGGGACACACTCGAGATGATGTGGGATGCAGGGGTGAGGCGATGGCGCCCTTCCCGCCCCTTCACCTGTCTCACACCCAGCACAGCATGGAGTTCAGTGTTTCAGCAGCAACGTTCCAGTGCCTAGTCACTTGCTGTGCGGGTGTTGTAACACTCCCACAGGGACCCTGGTGGTCTCCTGATCCCCGGATCCCAGCTACGGGGGGGTGCCCTGGAACCTGTCTCTTCCACTGTGTCTCCTGCCTGGAAATGGGCAAGGAGGGGTGCTCCTAAGGGAAGGGGGAGACTGAATCACTGAACGACGGTGCCGTCTGCCACGGCCCCTGAGACATCTTGCATTCCTAGGTCATGAAAAGCCTCCCGGCAAACAGGGACGGTAGGGAGCACCGGCACCTGCCAAGGGGAGAGTGAAACCAGGGTCGCGGAAGGCTCACCACCAGACTAGCAAGGATGGCACGATGCTACCCGCGTCCCCTGCGCAGGACGATGCCATTTCGTCAAGCTCAAGTACGAGCAGACTGAGCACTAGACTGTTTAGGGGGACATACTGAAGTGGTCAACCTGTAAGAGAAAAAAAGAGAGAATGATAAACAACAAATTCAGGGTAGCCATTACTTCTGGGCGTGGGGCAGGAAAAAGGGATTGGGGGAGACAGATTCTTGCCCAGGAACTGGCAGCACTCTGAAGTCTGGGGTGGGTGATGAGGGCTCCTTTTCTTGTATATTTCACATAAAATAACGCATCATGTGTAACGTGTGTAAGACACAGGCCACACGTGTCTACGTAACATATGTAATCTATGTAGCACACAGATATTACACATATTTTGGAATGTGTCCAATATTATATTAAAACAATTTAAGAAGACATGGAGTTGATGAGGGCCCAGAAGGGTTTTAATGAAGAAATGCTTTTACCCTAAAAATGAAGCACTGGACAGAAGGTGCTTGTGGGCGCTATCAACATTTAGTGAGTGACTCAGCTTAGATGTCACCTTGTGGTCAAAGCAGACTCAGGTGGTGCCCCTCTTTGTGCCTCCCTCCCAGCCCTGTGTCTCCGCCTTTTGAACATCCATCACCCTGGGTTGTGACTCACTATTCTGCATCTCCTCCAGATCAGATTGTGAACTTGAGGGGCAGGGTCCGAGTCTGACTCAGTGCCTGGCCCATAGCAACCGCTTCAGGAAGCCTTGAGGGTCACCACTCCAGGGACCTCCGGGAACTGAGGGAAGAAGAAAAGTAGCCACGGGACTTTCTCCCTTAAGGATGGTGAGCAAGAGACTGCTGGCCAGCAAGGTCACACTTTTGAGAAAGTCTTTGCCTTGAAACTTTATTTAAATGGTGCCCTTTGTGTTCCTAAGTCTGCCCATGGCCATTGGCTCCTCGTTTTTTTTTTTTTTTTAAATATTTATTTATTTATTTGGCTGCATCGGGTCTTAGTTGCGGCATGTGGGATCTTTAGTTGCAGCATGCGGGATCTTTAGTTGTGGCCTGTGGGATCGAGTTCCCTGGCCGAGGTCGAACCTGGGGCCCCTGCATTGGGAGCGCAGAGCCTTAGCTACTGGACCACCACAGAAGTCCCATCGGCTCCTCTTGTCACCCTGTGTCACTGTTCTGATCCCTGGGGCCTCTGTCCCTTCCCTCGACAGCTTTCACTCCTGTGGCATTATTATAGAACTTTCCTCTCAAAACGTGTCCCTTGCCGGGTCTGTCCTGGGCCTGGAGGACTTTAACTTTACTGTGATGCCCCAATTGGGGGTCCTCATTTTGTTTCCCCCCCAGGTGCTGGGCCGAGCAAGATTTCTAGGACTTTGGTGAGTGACAGAATGACAGACCGAGGGGATGCAACTGACCCCCAGGGCAGCGAGTGACAGCAAGAGCAAGGCCAGGGGAGGGCTTGAGCATGAGGGGCTCTGGCTTCCCCACCCCCCGCTGGCTGCCCTGGCTTCGACCTCTCACTTCAGATGCTCCTGGGGCCCTTGCCCCACCATCATGCCACCTGGTTGAACCTCGGTCCTGCACCAACACTGAGGCAGTGACCTCTGCAGTCTCTTTTGCCTTCCCTCTCTGCCCCTCCATTACCCTGGCCAGGCCCCCATCATCTTTCTCCCAGATGATGGCAACAGCCTCCTCCTGGTTTCTGCTGGCACTCCCATCCCTATCATCCGCTCTGCTCCCACAGCCAGATCCGCCTTTTCAAATACAAATCAGATCGTGGCACTAGAACTTCCAACCTCTCCCAGGGTTTTGGGGGCACAGCAAGCTCCAGCACAAACCTCTCCCCTCAGCTGGCCCGGACATGGCCAGTTGGGGGCCCCACAAACAACCCAAACTTAACTGTCCCCAACTGATCTCATCTCCCAGTCCCCAGCTCAGAGACATCCAAGAGCCACCTTCAGCCACTGTCCTCCCTGACCATGCCAAGCCCACCTCCTGTCTTCAGCTCAACTGCCACTGTCTTAGTCAGAGCCACACGTGTGACAACCATGACTACAATCTCATAAGCAGTTTCTCAGACAAGTGCAGGTGATCAATGGTCTGTCAGCTCCATGGGGCTGGGTGGGAGTCATTGTGTACACGGTGCAGCGGCTCCCAGCATCTAGTCCCCCTTCTCATGTGCTTTCCTGTGCTGAGTTGAGGGTTCCGCACACAGATCGAATCCTGCCAAGGAGATGGTGTTTGAGGGGCAGGGGCAGCAGAAGCAGTGGCGGGGCACAGTGTGCTTGGCTGAGTATTTCTGTTGAATGGATCCCTAAGAGGGAAACTGCTTGGTTAAAGGTCATACACGTTTTAGTTTGTTAGATGCTGCCAAATTATCCTCCAAAAAAGTTCTACCAATCGATACTCTCACCACTGTGTAGGTGAGACTCTATTTCCTAACATCCTTGCCAGCAATGGGCCTGATCAAACTCTCCTCTCTCTATATATATATATATATATTTTTTTAAATAAATTTATTTATCTTTGGCTGCATTGGGTCTTTGTTGCTACGTGTGGGCTTTCTCTAGTTGTGGCGAGCGGGGGCTACCCTTTGTTGTGGTGCGCGGGCTTCTCATTGCAGTGGCTTCTCTTGTTGCGGAGCACGGGCTCTAGGTGTGTGGGCTTCAGTAACTGTGGCACGTGGGCTCGGTAGTTGTGGCTTGTGGGCTCTAGAGCGCAGGCTCAGTAGCTGTGGCGCACGGGCTTAGTTGTTCGGCAGCATGTAGGATCTTCCCGGACCAGGGCACGAACCCGTGTCCCCTGCATTGGCAGGCAGATTCTTAACCACTGCGCCACCAGGGAAGTCCTTCCCTATATGTTTTATTATGAAAAATATCAAACATATAGTGTGTTAGTTTCCCAGGGCTGCCATAACAGATTACCACAAACTGGTAGGCTTAAACCAACGGAAATTTATTCTCTCCCAGTTCTGGAAGCTAGAAGTCCAAAGTCAACAGGGCTGTGCTCCCTCTGAAAACTCTAGGGAAGAATCTTTCCTTGCCTCTTCCAGCTTCTGGTGGCTCCAGGAGTTCCTCAGTTGGCAGCTGCAAAACTCTGTCTCCATCATCAATTGGCCTTCTTCCCTGTGTGTCTGTGTCTAAATTTCTCTCTTCTTATAAGGACACTAGTCACTGGATTTAGGGCCCACCCTAATCCAGCATGACCTTATTTTGATCACATCTGCAAAGATCCTGTTTCCAAATAAAGTGACATTTACAAGTTCTGGATACACATGACTTTTAGGGGGATACTCTTCAACCCAGTACATGTACCAAGGTCAAAAAAAAGCTTACAGTGAACACCCATATACTCACCCGCTAGATTTCAGTGGTCACTAATATGAGAAATAAAAAATGGCACAGAAAGGGACTTCCCTGGTGGTGCAGTGGGTAAGAATCCACGCTCCCAATGCAGGGGGCCGGGGTTCGATCCCTGGTCAGGGAACTAGATTCCACATGCATGCCGCAACTGAGAGTTCACATGCCACAGCTAAGGAGCACGCCTGCTGCAACTAAGGCCTGGCGCAACTAAATATGTATTTTTTTAATGGCACAGAAAAAGATGAAAGTCTCCCAATTTATTTGAGGTGGTGTCTCTCATCTTCTGACTCTAGCTGTCACTCTGTCTCTTTCCTCTCTTTAAGGCAAACTTCGAGAAAGGACAATCTATACCGTGTCTCCACTTCCTCACACTGACATCGCTCTCACCAAACTGGTGTTGCTAAGTACAAGAAAGTTTTCTGTCCTCATCCTACCTGCTTCCTGGCAGCAGTTGAGAATGACGTTGTTAACCATGGTGTGCTTGAAACTTCCCTGGGTTTCCCCCTCCTCTTTGATGCTCCTTCTCCGATCTCTCTTCTGGATCTTCCTCCCTGCCCATAGTAAGTGCTGGCGTTCCTCTGGACGCTATCCAGGGCGTCCTCTTCTCTCCCTACCTGTATAAAGGAGGGTCCATCTGCAGGAAAAAGAAACCACTCTTGCTACTTTAAGCACTAAGAAGATTAAAACAGGGAAAGGGGAAGCTGTGCGTGTGGGAACCAGCGGAGCCCGCTCCGCCCCGCTCCGCCCCGCTCCTTCTGCAAGGTTGGAACCCGCGGCGTCCGCAGAGGGGCAGGAGGCTGTGGGAGCCGGCGGAGCTCGGTTCCGCCCCCTTTCCTACTTGGAGCTTGCGCGCCTGGAGACACGTACAGCCAACCAGTGAAAAGGAGCGGCTGTGAGTGGCATCCACTTCGTCCAATAACCTGAGGGTCTGGAAAGCGGTCTTGCGCCCGGGCCAATGGCGGCTCGAGGCGGAGCTCGGGCGGGGGCGACGGTCACCTGATCTGCGGCGGCCGCGGTGGGTCCAGGCAGTGGAGGCCGAGAGGTTTTGATGGCGGCGACGGCGGTGGATCGAGTGCGGGCGGGGATGCGGCGGTCCCTGGCGCTCTGGCAGATGCCATGGCTGCCGCTGGTGATGGTGGCGGCAGCGGCGGTGGCGGTGGCGTCGGAGCAGCAGGTGCCGCTGGTGCTGTGGTCGAGTGACCGGTGAGCGGGGCGGGCCGGGGCGGGCTGCGCTGCGTGCCGCGTCGGCTGAGGTGCCCTCGCCCGACTCCTGGGCTGTCCTTGGCGAGGGGCGGCGGGGCCCAGAGGGGGACTGTCCCTTGCTCGGCGGCTCCATAGCGAGTGGGCTGGGTCTAAGCTCTGGGCCCCACGCATCAAGCTGGGAGCCCGTGGGTTTCCGATCTCAAGCCATGAGCTTCCGCTTGACAGCACGTCTTCTGTCCCCTGCCAGAGACCTCTGGGCTCCTGCGGGCGACACCCACGAGGGCCATATCACCAGCGACATGCAGCTCTCTACCTACTTAGACCCCGCCCTGGAGCTGGGCCCCCGCAACGTGCTGCTTTTCCTTCAGGACAAGGTGCGCCTGCCACAGCCCTCTCTCCCTCGGTCATCAGGAGGCAGGCAGGCCCCCTCCCCGCCCCCCGCCCCAGGACACTGAGGCCCATTCCTCAAGGGAAGCTTCAGTGACCTTGTCCCAACTCTAGGGAGGTGTGGTTCCTCCCTTGGGAAGGCATGTAGGAGAACGTTCAGTGGGAATGGTGAGGGCCTTGAAATGGCACCCACTTGATTGGGGGAAATAAAGGGTCAGAGGCCAGATGCCCAGTGAGTGCCAGACCCTTATCTGATCTACTCTACATGGTGGGGATGATGCACCCTGTTTACAGATCAGAAGAGTGATGCCCAAGGATGGCAAATGACTTGCCCAAGGTCACACAGCTAATGGGTGGCAGAGTCGTGATTCTAACTGTAATCACCGTAAGAGAGAGAATCGAAGAATGATCACTTACTGAGTGCTTCATTCGCACTATGCTGAGCTGATGTCATTATCTCGGTTTTACTGCCAAAGAAGGATTGGCTGAAGTTGTGTGGCTTGTGCAAGCCACAGCTGGTTCCAGCCTGAGTCTGTTGGACACCCCTCCACCCCAGGTTTGTGCTCATATCCAGCACACTGTTTACCCTCCCATCTGGGTCTTTCTGCTCCTAAAGCAGGCACGTAGACCACAAGAAGGTTCTAGGGCAGTGTAGGATTGTCGTTTGGGAGGTTATCGAGCTTCTGCTTGTCGGTTCCTCATTGATGGCCTGTATGGCTCATTCCCCTTTTGGTCTTGCTCTGTCGTTCTGTGGGCAGGTGGTGGTGGCTGTGCTGGCCTGTAGTCTTCCCAGGAGGTGGTAAATAATGTAGTCAGACTGGAACTCAGTTCTAGTTCTACTACTTACTGGCCTTTGGACATGTGAAATACTCTGCAAATGCCCCTTTCTGCATCTGTAAAATGAAGACACCACTGACATCAGAGGGCTGTGATGAACATTTCTCACAGTCCGTGTGAAACATATAGCTGGCATCCCCACCCTGTCTTATGGCATTCCTTCAATTCATTCATTTGTCAAATATGGACTCTGCCTACTGTGTACCAGGTACTAAGTGTTGGGGACACAGCAGTGAGCAGAATAACCCAAGCCCCCCCGGAGATGCTGACATTGTCGTGAGGGTGACAGGTAAATGCTAAGTTGGTGTATGATATAATGTCAGTTCTGTAGTCCTTAGAGAAGAAGGAAGCAGACTAAGGGGACAGAGTGACTGGCAATGCCGTTTAAGGTAAGGGTGACCAGGCAAGCGCTCGCTGTGGAGGTGATATCTGAGCAGAGACCTAAGTGGAGGGAGGGATGGAGCCGTGTGGCTGTAGGGGAAGGGCATTCCTGACAGAGGTAACAGCAGGTGCAAAGGCCCTGGGCAAGGAGCGCTCCTGGTGAGCCCGTGGAAGAGCTGGTGTGGCTGGAGTATAGTGAGCGAGAGAAAGGGGTAGGAGATGGTCAGCCAAGGAACCGGGAGACAAGGGGGGAAGACGTTGGTTGCAGTTCTAAATGTGGCAGGAAGCCTTGGGTGATTTCGAGCAGGGAGTGCCATGAGGACACAGCGGTGGTTCCTGGGCTTTCAGAATGAGAGCTTAGGTGGCCAGACAGGGTCAACATTCCTGCCCAGAAGGGAGAGGAGGCCGGGCAAGTATGTATACTAAACAGGATGAGGTTAGGGAAGCTGATTAAGATCTCCTCTGGGCCTAACCGGGAAAAGCCAGAGGAAGCTGGGAGTTGGGATGGAGGGGCAGAAGCTGAAGGACATCTCTAGGTTGCAGAGGAAAAGGGATGGGGTTGGGGTTACTGTGGCCCAGAGAGCTCAGAAGACTTCAGTGCTTTCTCCAGCATGTTCTGAGATCCTCACCTCTCTCCCCTTCCACCAAAACCAGGCAGGGAGGGGCACTTCTCCCCCTCCTTTGCAAAGGGTCCCATCCAGACCGGACGGACGCGGCTCTACCTGTCGCAGCTGGCACGCAGGCTCTCCTTGTCTCTGACTTCTGCCCTGGGGGGCGTGCAACCAGTGCTCCTGGCTGCCCCCCAGCTCCTCCCCACAGCTTCCCTCTTCCCTCCGCAGCTCCTCCCGTCTGCTCCCGGGGGGTGGCTGACTCTTACTCCCGAGGTTACCATGAATCAGCTGCCCACAGACTTCCTTCCAACCCCATGACCACCTTCCTTGTTCCCTCACCCTGCCAAGAGGGTGCTGGAGAAAACAGAACCTTCCACCGCCCCACCCTACCCCTAAAATACACCGTTGCTCACTCTTCGGACCAGATCAAATTTGACTCTGAATGAGATTCTGCTGGCCCTGCAAACGCACAGGGAAGGTGTCTGCCCCCTGCCCTGGCCCTAGCCCAGCGTTCTGAGGCCATCTCCCTGCTTCCCTACTAGCTGAGCATCGAGGACTTCACAGCGTATGGTGGCGTGTTTGGAAACAAGCAGGACAGTGCCTTCTCTAACCTGGAGGTAAGGGTCCTCTCCCAGCTGCAGGCCCTGGAGGCCATCCTGTGCCCCCTCTCCCAGCACAGTAAGAACTGTCCCCTCAGGAGCCAGAGATGCTGGCTGAAGGTAGAAAGGCCTTAGTGTCAGGGCCAGGGGTGTGGCGTGTTTTCTTTGTCACCTGGAATGAGAGCCGGTGTGGGTGTGGGCGTGGCTTTCCAGAGAGGTCTGGGAGGCTGGCCCGGGTCCACTGGCCCCTTGCTAACTCATCCTCTCGCCTGCCGCTCTGTCCCCAGAATGCCCTGGACCTGGCCCCCTCCTCTCTGGTGCTTCCTGCCGTCGACTGGTACGCGGTCAGCACTCTGACCACTTACCTGCAGGAGAAGCTCGGGGCCAGCCCCCTGCACGTGGACTTGGCCACCCTCCGGGAGCTGAAGCTCAACGCCAGCCTCCCGGCCCTGCTGCTCATCCGCCTGCCCTACACAGCCAGGTACGGCCCGGCCTCTAGCCTCAGGGCCCAGGCCCCGGTGGCGCAGCTCAGCCAAAGAGAACAGTCCTCCCGTTAGCACCTTGAGGCCCTCCCAGAAGGTGCCTGTGTGGCCAGAAGAGGCGGGAAGGACCTCAGCCTGTCGGGCCTCCTGAGACAAGGCAGACGTGGGCCTTGCTGGCGGGGAGCCGGCCCGCCTAGCGGGGACCATACACGGAGCAGGTGGCAGGGACTTGAGCCGGACTCCGAAGCTGGGGGAGGAGGGCCGGGGGATTCCAGGCAGGGCTGTGAGGTGAGCAAAGGTACCGGTGGTAGGAGTGGGCCCGCAGCTCGAGTGTGCTAGGTGGCGGGGCTACCAGGCAAGGACGGCGGCCCAGGGCAGCGGAGGCCATTTGGATTTGGGCGTCTCTAATGTTCTGTCTCTTCCCCAGCTCGGGTCTGATGGCACCGAAGGAAGTGCTCACAGGCAATGGTGAGTGGGGTCGGGGCAGTGCACGGTTTCTGTCCTCATCCCACCCTTGGCCGCAAGGAGCTGGCCCGCGCTCCTCAGCCCCTCTGCCCTCCCAGGGTGGCCCGCCTGCTTCTTGGCAGCAACTGGCCAGCTGAGCAGGGCCCCGCCAGTCCCCAGGCCTCGGCCCTCTCTGGCTGGGCCCAGCCTGGCAGAGCTGTTGGATGTCCAGGGGCCTTCCGTGTGCAGCCTGGAGCCAGTTTCCACTCAGGCGGCCTGAATCCTCGGGTTTGGGCTTGAATATACCAGCAACGTTTCAAAAAACAGTTCCAAGGACTGGTCTTCCTTTGGCTGTAAAGGACAGTCATTCCTCCTGGCAAGGTCACTGGACACTTTCCGGGTGCAGAGTTGGAGTTTTCTGTGTCTGTCTGTCTTTCCTCCCTCCAGTGAGTTAGGACGTGGCACTAGGGATTCAGTGACTGGGCCACGGTGGCCGGGGGGAGGCTGGGGCTGGGGCGATGGTGAGAAGCGGCTGCTGGGAACAGCGAACACCAGTGAAGGTTGCTGGGACCCGGCTCTGCGAGGATCTCGGCGTCCCACCAGAGGACGTGCCGGTTGCCGGCGTACGGGGACCGCACAGGGCAGACATCCGGCGCTCCCCAGCTCAACACGGCGATCCCGCTGAGCACCGTCAAGAGAAGCCTCCGAGAGGGTGCATGGAAGGCCCCAGCCTTGCCCCTGCCGTGTGACAGTCGGGTGGGTTCTCACGGGCAGTGGCAAGCGTGGCCGCGAGCGGCCGCCTGTGACTTGCTTCTCTGCCCCCCCCCCCCCCCCGTTGCTCCTCAGATGAGGTCATCGGGCAGGTGCTGAGCGTGCTCAAGTCGGAAGACGTTCCGTACACGGCGGCCCTCACGGCAGTCCGCCCTCCTAGGGTACGTGCCCTTGCC